GTGATAAATTTTTTTTTGTATATAAATTTACATTTTTAATGAAGAATTTAATCAATTCCTTATTCTAAATACTAACTTGTAAATCACTTATTTATACTATATACATTAAAGAAAAAAAAAATGCCTTTTTTCCACAATAATCCCCTTTAGCTAAAAATTCGTGTAATTCCATATCTCTTTTTATTTTTTTTTTTTTTGCGGGAATAGCATCTCCTCAAAATCTTGATACATATATAATAATAACTATATGCTATTATACTTATATGGTATTGTATACTGAAAAGAGCCATAAGAGCATAAAAAATGTACGAAATAAAATACTTTCACGTAGTTTGCACAAAAGATGGCAGGCATGTAAAGTTTGTTTAATTTTTTTCCAATTTATTGTTCCTTTTTTTTTTTTATATACAAAAGAATGATATTATAATAAAAACAAAAAATTATAATAAATAGAAAAAATATGAAAAATAATGTTGAAAAACTTTAGGACATTGAAAATATGAAATGTATTAATAATTTCAATTCAATTAGTAAAATATCAAAGTGTACAATTTATAACTTTTGTTGAATACCTATACAATTCAATAAATTGAAGAAATGTTTGAACCAAACAATACAGGCAGCCATATAACTAATTTTAAATTAACGCAATGTGTACCAAATACTTTTCCGTAGAAAATTCCAACATTTCCAGCATTTTAACAGAAAATGGAAAGTTTTTTTGAACTAATACAAAATTCCGATTATTTTGGTCAGTAAACAAATTATACATTAAATGAATTTCGCTTAAACAGCATCCTAGAAATATGCAAACAAATAGACTATCACTTTCACTAACACCTCAAACGGAATTAAATGGAATTCAAATGGAATTGAAAAGATCAAAATGCAAAAAAAAAATAAAACTTCAACGTGAAATTTGCTTTTCAGTAGCTTACAATCATAATAACAGCACTTTAAGGAATTACCTTGTCCATAAATGATATTCGCTTCTATTACTTTTTTCAAATTTAATTATTATAAATGGAAGTATAAATTTCAAATGTACGCACGCAAATTTTATTTCACTATGGATTTACAAAGAAAAAAACCAAAATGGAGAACGCGTTCCATTTATGAAAAATATTTAATTTTCAAAAATATTTCAAGTAGTGCTTTAGTTTCAAAGACATTATATAATATAATATAGATTTTTTGATATACATATCCTATACGCATATACATTTGTATTCCTAAAATCTATGTGCACACACATGTATGAATACTGAATATTATGTAAAAAAAAGAAAATCATTTTGTATAAAATTAAAATTTTAAAATTTTTTTGGTTCCCTCATATAATTTTTGTTTTTTAGTAGTTGTTATTTTATTTATAATTTTTAAAGAACGACTTCATTACTATATATATAAATGAATTATGTTATCTGTATTGTTTAAAAACAAAATCAGTCCTTTATTTCTATATTGACGGGGATTACCTTCATTGTATAAGAGTTTAAATAATGATTAATGTTAGTTAATATTAAAGGACAATGACAAATATTTCGTTAAAATATCAATTTCGAATATTTTAAAAATACAATTTTTTTTTTCAATAATATTCAAAAATAAAACTCATGTGTGAAAAGGATTCCTCCTTAATATAATAATAGATACTCAATATATAAAAAAAACTAATCATGAGTAAGGTCATGACTATGGATAAATTTTAATAAATTAAATTAAATTGAACATACTAAAATTTAAAATTCATTGGAATTGAGTTAAAACAATATTGTATTAGATGAACGTGTTTCAGTTTACGTGGGTTGCTGAAATAATCAAAATAGAATGAAATGGAAAAAAAGTATTTTGCAAAAATTTAATAATAAACTAAACTAATAAGTAAAAATTTTTACTGAACACAAAAAACAACAAATATGACTTAATATTTTTGTAGTCGGCCGATCTCAATTCAAGTTTCTGACTAATAATTAATATTGAATACAAGCAATATAGCAACAATATATACAAAACTATATCAATTCAACTAAAATTTAAAAAAACATCATTTGTTATGACTTCCTCTAATCAGAAAGCAAGACTTCTCTAAAGCTCGGTCGGAGAAAGTCTTCCGGGACTATATCAGACCAAGGAGCTTCTGGGAGATTATGGCCAAAAGAAAATAAAGAAAATTATAGGGATGGGCAAGAATTATGTAAGAATTCTCATCGAAATTTCGCCGAGTCACTGCAGACTTAGATGATGCGTCATTAGGCTAAGCCTGAAAAGTGAAAACACTTGATAGCAGATTCTGTGGGGAAGATGAGACTTCAATACACCTTCTGCGAGATTGTGATGCTGTCATTTGCAGGAGAAAGGAAACACTAAGGGACTTTGTCCTCAAGTCGGTGAAGTTGCGGTCTTTCGGGCTTTACAATTGCTCAAGTTCATCACTTGGTGAATCTCAAGCTGCTACACACTCAGGGAATAAAATCTTTACAGGTGGATGCGGTATACTGTTGCTCCCGGCTATACAACTCTACAATATAAAAAACTACAACTTACTCTTTTAATATAATTTCATAATGTAAGCCAAAGCAACTAGTTTTGAAAGTAATTTAAAAGTTTCAAGTAAAATCACTTTGGCAGTCAAAACCTGTAACTAATTTATTAGTCATCAAATATATTATGTATTAATATTTGTTAAATACCAATAATTATGAGCCGCTGTTCGGGCGCCAGTCTTTCTGTTGCAAATTAGATAAATCAAACTGAGTTTATGTGGTATTAATGGCTACAGCAGATAAAAGTTTATATAACAATATATTCACCTATAAATAAATTTTCTAATTTTTAAAATTAAATCCTATTTTTTTGCAATTAGAATATCTAAAATAAACTACATAATATGTATATAATGAAATGCACATACATACACACAAACGGATACGTGCATATAATATAAATTTTATAAAAATTTGAAAATTTATTTATTTATTTCCCCAATGCCAAAAAAAAATTTAATTTATAAATCAATTTTACAAAGTTTCCATTGTATTTTGGATATAATATACAATATATTATGTATACTCGTATGTATGTATAGAGTTGTAAAATGTATACTTAAAATCCTAAATAAGCCATTAATATCAAAGAGCTTGAACTTATACCATCATGACATTCAATTCAATTCAATTTAATATAATAAAATGTCCTTACCTTATAGTTATACCTTTTACTTTGTGAACATAAGAAAAATAAGAACTTATATGTACACATATAAACAATATATATATAGATTTTATTAATTTATATATTTTAACAGTTATTCACATATAAGTCCTATGGTTGATAGAAATTATACTGTAACTGATAATAAATGAGTTTCAAATTCTAATCGTAATTCATACTTATATAAAGTTTAGACCTGGTCACATTATCATGTGATTTCTTAGGCATTTTATGACAGTCAAGTGAGTAAATTACAGTTACATTGATGCAAATCTGTTTAACTTCCCTTAATTAACTTTTGAATCCTCAATGAGGTAAGTGAACGGCAGACGGGCATGCATATACGTAACTCGATTATGCATATATACAGTGCAGTGTTAACAACGGAAATTTGCGAGCATAATATGTACGGTTGTAAATATTTGGAATTAACTTACTTAAAAATTAAATTAACAAAACAGTGGGCGCATAAATAGTCCATTTCTGAATTTTACCAAACTGTCGAGAATATGCCGTATAAATACATAGTGACATATAAGTACATATTATACAATTATCTTATAAACATATATGAGGATTTTACAGTGTAATAATGAAGATATTTAATGTCAAAAGATATGAGGGGAATCCCTCTTTTCAAAACTTTTATTTTATTTATTTTCTCTTATATTTTATGTTTTTTATTTATTATATTATTTTGTTTGTATCTTTTCAACTCTCTTTAATTTCTCTCTTCATATCCATATTAAATTATCTATACATATATATAATAATAAAATTCATTTTGAATTTCTCTCAAAATATATCCTTGAAACAATATTTTATTCTTTGATAAGCTTATTTTTGATTTCTGCCGATAGCAAATGATTGATAGCCAATCAAGTTTAGTTCATGGGGGCAATTAATTTTATTTTCATTAAAATAAATACTTCATAGTATATAATATGTGTTTGTGTAAATATAATACAGTTATATAAATAAATATATACATTAAGTAAGTTTGAAACAGAAATTGATTCAAATAAATTGGAAGTGAAAGTTTTTGATTGCAAATATAAAGGAAAAACAAAATATAATATAATTTATTGAAGAAAAATTTATATGGGAAACTTTATAATTGATATAGGCAACTTTAAGATGTTAAACATAGGGAAGAGCTGAAATATTACTCGGAAGTTATAGCTATAACAAGTGGTAACAGTTCCGAATTATTTCTAGTACTCTATAATTTTAATAACTAAAACGAATTAGGTATTATAGCATACTCTTAAGGATTTGAATACATAACTGCAGCTTTTAATTATAATTATAAACAAGCGATTAAGCTTTTCAATAAACATCAACTTTTATTTGATCAACCATCCATTGTTTGTTCGGCAATGCAGTTTTAACTGCAGAGCAAAGCAGATTTCAGACTAGTTTGCTTTCATGTCAACTCTCTTATTGTTTCCAAATCTGCACAAAAATTCTTCAATCCCAGAAAATTTAAAAATGATATTACAAATTTAGAATACACTGCAAATTATTTTAATTTTGACCTTTTATAGACAAAATACACAAAAACAAAAAAACCAAATAAATCATTATGTGTGATGGTACATTTGGATTATCTGAAAATTTAATATTACATATTTGAGAAAATCTCATTATTATGTAATAATGTATTACATTATTATCATTTAGTTTTTAAAATCCCTAAAAGGATTTTATTTCTTATACAATAAAAGATTAATTTTAAGACGGATTAAATCCTAAATATATGCAATATTACTTCATTTTGGTTTTTTTTATATTACAATGGATATAATTTGGAAAAGAACATAGCCATTAATCCGTCAAATAAATTATAATGAGATTACTTTGAAATAATTTTATCAATAATAAAATTTCTTTGAAAAATGACCGAGAGCGATCCCACGACTTTTGCAAGATTCTTATAAATTTTTTCATATAATAAATGTGCCATTTCAAATTTAAAACTTATTAAAAAAAAATTGTTTTAAATTAAAAATATTTTATATTGTGGTTATAGTCAAAAAACAACATAAAATGCAAATATTTAAATTTATTATTAAACTTTTAGGGTCACCATTTACTTCTAGTTTTCATCTTTTTTACTAAATTGCTTTGAAAATTTTGGTATTTTAAGTGAAATCAATGATTTTAATGATAATTCGGATTTAGATTTCTTATTTTTTAATTTGATATTTCTGCCATTCTCTTTATCATCAGCCTCAATTTCTGAACTCATAGAACTTTTACGTGACTTCTTTCGGTTATTTTCACTTTTACTCAAACCTTTTTCCACATCATCACTATCGTTATCATCGAGTGATTTTAATGTATTTTTTGAATCCAATGACAATGATGAATGGGATGGTCTTGTTGAACTTCGTTTACTACTACTTTTTGGAGCTGGTTTTGTTGTTACCCAAAATTTTGCCGCAAATACAATCTCCTGAATGAAAGCATCCGTCATAGAAATCTAATAATTAGATATAAGTTAAAAAAGCATAGAAAAACATAATATTACACAAAACCTTATTTGATAATGCAACATCTTGAACACTAAAGAAAAATTCTACTAAACCAACACAAAATGCGACAATTAAACCAAATCCAAGAGCTAAAAAGACACCACCGACGTTTCCCATTTGCAATTCTAATGAATCACCTCCACCTCCATCCCCTTCATCACATCCTCCTCCACCATATTTTTCCTTCCACCAACGCCGCTTTAGCGTTACTAACATTCCCGTTTCACCCAGTTTTAATACGGCTTCACTAATTTGTTTTCGCCATGGTGAATCTTAATTTTTTAAATATTCACATCATTAAAATATAAACTTTAAATTTTCTTTTAACTTACTAAATGGCATCGCAATACCATATGTTTTATAATCTAACCATTTTCCAACCTGATATAAACCACATTCTCTTTCAACAATATATTCTAATGTTGTTGATTCCATGAAACAGGCATATAATCTTTTTGATTTTTTAACCCTCTCAGCGCCAACTTCATTATTAGGGATCCAAACCGGGGGATCTTCTGCTTCCATGAATGACCACATTTTTTGATATATCGCCTCATCGGAATTCTAATAATTAAAAAAAGTAAACTGTAAAAACTTAAATTATATATGAAAATTTAACGTCAAAAGGTCAAGAAAAATAATAAAATTACCTTAAAAAACCCTTGAGTACTTCCTCCAGCTACAGCTCCATATTTAATACTAGTTTGTGACGCTAAATCTTCAACACTCTTAATAGACGTATCCCTCTGGGAACTAGTTAAAAATGCAGCCAAATTTGCTGTGTATGAATTTTGTAAAATAAGAGCAAAAAACCACCAAAAACCAGCAAGAATTCGTGTTGATGCAGATCTAATAACAGAGTGCAATATAACCAAAACACATTTTTAATTATATGTCAGTTAAAAAAGACTTCTTACTTCGGCAGTAAATCACACCCTGCTCCCAAAATTGAGCCAACTGCTAACCATGTTGTATTCTTCAATTGCCAAACATTTTCCAATTCCTCTGGTTCTGCGTTACAAGGGTGTGGATTTTCCCAATCTTGTGGGGCCATTCTGTATTTATATAATTATTACGTAATATTTCATAAATTATCCAAAACAAAAGTTTCTAATTTTATTATTACCTTGCAACTATATAAAACAAAATTGAAATTCCAACATATGCTCCGCTCATATACAGCCACACATCTAAAATTGTTTTAATTAATACATACTTAATATAGATACTAAGTTTAAATACATACTATTTGAAAATGGTAATCTAAATGAGAAAAGATCTGGAGGCACAGGATCCGCTTTTGCATATAATATACTAATTCCTAATGTCATAAATGGGGGTGTAAAATCAACTACTTGACGACGTGCCGATGTCATCGTCAAATCACAAATACCCATATCAGCATTCTGAAAAAAATATGATCTATGTTAATAAAGTTATAAGAGTACTAAACCAAAGGGCGAAAGGAACTAACTCCTTCCATAACTTGTCCAACTATTCCATTCCATTTGCCGATTGATGGGTCATATGCACCATATTTACCGTCTGGGGCTAATACAAATTGATATTTAAATCCAGCTATTTTTGATATTTCATGAATTAAATCAACTGAATATCCTTCATATCTTGCATTTCCGATTAAACTTGAATCATTTTTACTTAAATCAAATAAAAACGGTTTTCCCACACGAGATGACACAATAAAAATTTTACTTTGAAGCTTATCTTCTTTACGTTTTAAATTGCCTTCTGATCCAATGCCACTAAAACCATTTATAGGATCCCATTCAGAAAATTGTGCAAATCCATCTGGTGTTAATTCTAGAATTTGTGTTGTAAATTGTATACGTTTACCATGTTCATTTAAATGAATTTCGCCGGTACTTCCTGATTCTTTTCTCTTCAAAATCAGATATCAATCACGTTTTTAATTTTTTCCTTTAATATTAAAATTTAAAAATTTTATACTCACCCCCTTAATAAATTCAACAATCCTTTTACCAAAAGCCCATGGTTCTGGACTATCACATGTACTAGACGGTGGTTCTAGTTCTTCAATTATTTCTAGTGTAGAAAGACCTTTTGCAAATAACCATACAGCATCTGTTAATGTTAGCATTGTCGTCTAAAATAAAAGTTTTAAATATATAAGAAAAACATCAAAATATCTTATTTCTTTTACGGGTACTTCCTCTGGACTCAATTTATAGTATTTATTTCTTTCTTTTTCTACTTCCTCCAAATCAGCAACAACATTCAAAATATTTGAATCAGAAGGATCTACAATCCTTATTGTTGTTATATTTGCTGAAACTGAAGCTAAATCACCAAAATCTAAAGTATAAGTATCAAGTGGTATGAAAAATATACTCTGATATTCTCCTAACATTTTCAATTCTCTTGCATTCTCCAACAGAGGAATAATAGTCTCAATATCACAATTTATTATTAAATTAACTTCTTTTTTGTCATGTAAATTTTTTAAAAATGGTAAAAATTGCTGCTGTTCATCATATTCAATTTCATAGAATGTTGTTAAAGGTGAATCACGTGTATGTAACTCTAAAACATTTTGTAATTCTGTGAAATCTTTAAAAAAATAAATAAACATTAGTTATTTCATATGAATGAAATTCGTTTTGTTACATAATTGCAAAGGGCAATTTGAATTTATTTACTTACGTTTATTAGATTCATATACCACAGCATATCTTCTCCATCCATGAGCTGTGACAGCTTCAGCAATAGCTTTTCCTAAAACACTTTCATCCGGATACATATTAATTGTCATTGAATATAAGTCTTGAAAATGTAAAGGATTTCTTAACTTGTAATTAAATAAAAAATGCGGTATTTCCAAAATATTACAAATTGATGAAACAATATCTAAAAACAATCAAACCAAGAATAACAAAAAATACTAATTGAATTTTATTCTCAAACCTGATACATCACTATCTGTTGGTCCAAAAATCGCTATTACACCTTCTGCAGCTAATTCACATGTTAATTGTTCTAGCATATAGCTATCCTCGTAATCGGCATACTTTATTATTTCATTTAATTTAAAATCTTTTTCCATTTGATTAACTCGATATATTGCAGCTCGAAATGCAATATCAAAATCATCATTTTCATTTTCAAAAATTGCACCTGTACAATAAACAACAAAATAATTGTCATATAATATTATTTATTTTTAAATAAGACTTATTTAAATTGCAAATTCATCATCAAGTCCAAAAACAAGTGAATAATTTTTAAGCTACGATTAATAATTAAAATTTTTTCTTCCTCTCTAGTTTTTGTTGCGTTTTTTGCTATCATTTCCACTTAATGTTTATGTATCTCAATAATTAATCACTTATTTTAAGTATTTATTATATTTCAAAATTTCTCAATTAAAATTATTCTCAATTTACAATTATTGAATTTCTCACTTTTTGCAAAAAGCGAATTGCATATAATATAATACGAGAAACATTTACTTTCTCATGAAATTTACATGATGCAAAACCATGATTCTCTCTCAATATACTCAGTGAGTTAAAATAGTGAAATGATGCTCTTACATTTTACATTATTGTATATACTTATATAAATTTTAAATAAAATAATTAAATAGAACATTATGGCGTATATTTTATAATGCAGGCACCGGCAACGCAACATTTAAAATAACCTTGTAATAAAAATGAAAATAAATACATTTATGCTGTGACGTCTTTTACGCAAATGGGAATTTATGCTTTTAAAGAATCGCCTGTCTGTTTGTTTTTTTTTTTTTGTCATTTTATAAATACCCTCCATGCCGCTATGCGTCATGTTTATTACATAAAAGTACTAGATTTTTTTTTTTTTTTTACAATTTTTTGTCTCGTCGCTCACTTTGCTCGTATGTATGTTTTGTATACGTGAGATGAAAAATTCTATGTAAAATTTTTTTCATTTAAATTATACACTTAATTTATTTTAATTTTTAATATTATTTTATTTAATATATTTTAATAAGAAACCATACACACCAATTGAAAATTCTTTTTTAGGTGGTTTAGCACTTAAAATAGAATTTATAAGTAAAATTAAAATACAAATGCATAAAATAATTATTTTCATTTTTCTACATTAATATATCAAACACATTTCGTTAATTTTAAAATTTAATATTAATTAAAAATTTGTTAATAACAAATTATTTAATATTTTTAATAAATTTTCATTAATTTAAAAAATTTTTTTTTTTTGCTAAACCGAAAAAGTATCGTTTATCTTGACTCATTCACAGTTTAAATTGTACTAAAAAAAAATTTTTTTTAATTTATTAAAATTAAAATACAGAGATATTCTAAAATTAGATGTGTTATAAACCTAAAAAATTTTTGCAATATTTTTATACAAAATGCATAAAGCAAAAAAACTGCAATCTCTAAAAACTTTATATTTTATATATTTAATTGATTTTCACTTTTTATTTATTTATTTTTCTCTCTATTTAAACATTTTTTAATTGAAAATAAGCCAAAAAAAAAAAAATAAATAAATAAAAGTCGTGTTTTCTTTTTCAAAATTTTAAGGTCATTCACGCGGCATTATAAATTATTCTGTACAAATTCTATTATGAAATGTAAATATTAAAGCTTTTTCTTTCTTAGATTTCAAATATTTTTTATATATATATAAATTTTTAATACTTATAAATTATTAAAAACAATTAGCTTTTTTTATGACGTTCAAAATATTTTCGCATAATTAAAATTATTTAACAACTAAAATTTCAAGTACTTGCAAAAAAAATGAGAGAACAAAGCAAAAAGTGAGAGAGGGACGAACTTAAAAAAAATTTTAAAATAATATGTTTGATTTATTAAAATAATAGCTAAAAAAAATTTAATTTTAATTATGTGGGTATATGCAAAACAATTATTTGACAAAATCATTAAATTTTTCAAATTATTTAAATTTATAATTTTATTAGCTTTTGTTATTGCAGTATGTATGTATGTATTGAACAATCATGTTCGTTTTTTAATTTAAAATCTCTTTATATCTCAAATTTTACAATATATATATATAATTTAAATAATAAACCATGTTGTGTAACCAAGTCTTCTACTCTTGAAAAAAAAAAATTAATTAATAAATTTTTTAATAAGAAATTTTCTTTGAAATTTTGTTCTTTCAAAAAAAAAACATTCAGTTTCTCTTTTTATCCTCCTTTATGATTAAAATTGAAATTTCTTTTTTTTTCTCTCTCTTCTCTTTCAATATTTTCATAATTCAAAATTGAATTTTTATCATAAATCCCTTTTAAAATAAAAATAACTGTTCATATTTCAATAATTTTTTTTCTTTATTTGCTATTTTCATTCAAATAGAATTGAAAATTATGGCAATCATTCACAATAGATGAAAAAAAAAAATTATTTTACAAAAGCATATTTTTCTTCTCTTTTTTTTGCTACAAAACCACTAAAATATTACAATTGAATATAATTACAAAAAGTAAAAAATCCTTATATAATTTTACAAAATATAAAAGGTAATCACGGTTAACAGCTTTCAAAAATAATAGTAATTAAATTTATAGGTACGTGTTTATATAATGGAATTGAATTAGTTTTCAAAATTTTTTGTTATGCATTCGTAAACATCCAGATAAGTATAATAACTAACAATTGGAAATTTTAAAGCTAAATAATAGTTAAGTGTGATTTTTTAAATTTAATACGACATAGTTGTGTCAATGATTTAGTTTCGTCAAACCAACAGTAATATCTTTCTTGAAATAGTTAGTAGTACTTTCATCTATTTCAATTATATAGTTTAATAGATTGCATACATTTCGGATGAGACAAGAAAAAAGTTGATAGAAACATTAACATAATGGTTGAATTCAAGGGTTAATTCCGTGAGTTATGATAAGTAATTAAATTAAATTTCTTGATGGCATGGTATCATTATATCGTTAGATTTCAGGATTTATAGAAATTTGTGAATCGCCTAAATTTTAAATTTTACAAATTTTGAGAGACTATCGTCTTGAGAGAGGATGGAAATCGAAAAAATTTCCAACAAAATTAATTATTAATAACTAAAAGTTACTAAAATTTTAGATTTACAACTTATCGTCTAGAGGAAAAACGATAAAAAAAATTTCAAGAAAACGAATTTAATTCTACTGCCATTTTGTCATTTCTATATACTCAAATATTTATATTAATAGAATTTAAAAAATGTTTGTGGTTTCGTTTCAATAAATAGTCAAAAAAATAGTCAAAATATTTAATTTTAAGGACTTTGAAAGGCTATAACTTTTTAAAAAATCTTTTAAAATATAAAATTGCAGCTTTCAGAAAGGCGGATGCACTGACTAAAACTAAAATACACTTTTTTCAAATTTTTTTGGAAAAATGCTAAAAAATTCATTACTTAACGAAAGAGTAGTTCTAATTAATTTCAAGCATATAACTGGTGCGATTTTCTCAGTGAAACTATTTTCTGATTTCAGAAGTCTAATTTTAGCTTGTTCACGAATAACATGAATAATTTAGCTTGTTCAGGTATTGTAATATGTAAGCAGTTTATCAGTATAAACTAATGAAACCAGTTTAATAAACATTGAAAAAGGGGGAAGACCCTTGCATATTTATCCATATGTGACATAATACCATAATTATAATTAAGTTAAGATAGTCCGGTATAATTGTACCATACATTTGTGTCGTACAATTTCAAATAAAAATTAAATTTGAAAGAATTCAATTTTTAAAATTTAAAAAATTAAAAATATATTAAATTCTAAAACCTTAACTTTATAATTAAAATTCAATTGTTAAACAATGTAAATGTTAAAAAAATTAAAGAATACTATACTCTTTTTTTTTGTACTAAGAAATGAATCTCATTTGATTTGGTTTTAAGAGACTGTTACATTAATAATACATTACATTTTACATATACATTCGCATATGTGCATTTGTATATATATATTAAGTTTATGTTACAAAATGAAAAATTAAGAAAAAATTGAAGAATAGAATTAAAGGAATTAAAATTTTTATCTAAAACACAAGTTAACAAAAATAAAACATGCAAAAAAAATTAAAACAAAAACAAGAAATTCATACATACGTAAGAGAAGAAATAACAATAAAAATGAGACATAGAGAGAAAAAAATAGAGATATAGAAAGAGGGAAAATTTTTTCACATGACTGAACTAAGTCCTTTATGAATGCACTACTGAAACCATAAAATTGCATTATCTTTATTTTGCATATTTCCACTAAAAAACAAAAACATAACGGAAATATCCCATTGAAAATATTTTTCTCTCTCTCTGTCTCTCTTCTATTCTCCTTTGTTTTAAATATTTTTCTATTTACTTTTTGTTCTGTTTTTTTTTCTCATTTTCAATTTTGTACTATGGTAATATAAGCATCACTTTGTTTGTGTCCTAATTTTTCTATTTTCTTTTTATTTATTTTTTGTTTTCATTTTTCTCTTTTCTTTTTTTTTGTTTCGTTTACTACTCGTTCTATCTCTTTTTTCAAACTATTGTAGTAATTTTACAATATTTTATGTTTGTTTCGTTTTTTTTCATTCTTATTGTTTTTTTTTGCTTTTCTGTTTAATATTTGAAAGGAAAACACTTTGTAGCCCTCTGTGATAATATGTTTTTCATTTTATTGTATAATTGTATTTGTTTAGAAGCTGTAATGCATTTTATTTTTGATTGTTTCGATTCTTGTTTTTTTTTTCTAATTTGAAATCAGATGAGAGGACAAGCCATAGAAAAAATGATGAGAAAATAATATTCATTTGTTGATGATATTGTCTATGTACAGTTACATTTTATGGTAAAATAACCGTAAATTCTAGATAATGTACATATATATTTAGGTACCTATATATTTACTACTCGGCTGATTAACAGGTATGTTATATTTTGAACAAAACCGGATTTTCATTTGGTTTGTATTGCATTATCATATTTTCTCATATAGATTCGTAAAACATATGGACGGCAACGGCAAGAAATTATAAAGGAAAAAAATACAAAAGAATCTTTCTCCAAACTCTTAAACGCCGTTCAAAAACTGGATAGCGGATAACTGGATAGGCTAGTGAATTTTTTTAGGAGAATATTCTCTTAACTTAGCTACTAAGCAATTATCTTCTCTATACATTCTTTAACACAGAAATCGTCAATAAGAACAATCTTTTCTCTATAGCTCATGCGGTCATTATTGAAACAAATAAGTACGAGAAACCCGCAGCTTTATCTTATATATAGCTTATTATTTATTATTATTATGTAATTAAAATAAATTTAAATTTTTTTTTTCCTTACAAATTTGGTATGAAGATATTTTTAATGATTTGAATCATTATACATAGGGCGCCTCTGTTCTAAATGCACTGTTATATAACTCACTGTATAAATCCCCATGAGGAGGTAAAACTTTTGCTTCGAGGCAAAGTTAAAATAATTCAACAGTATTATAATTAATCTTGATTGTTTTATTTTGCTTACTTTTTGAAATTTTGATTAAAACTCACTCCCTGTTTCAAATAGACGCATTATTAAACTGTTATTCATATTTGAATTCAATATTTTTAATATCCTTTTAATGTTGAGGTTTTACTGTAATATTATAGTATAGCTTTGTATTCACAAAATAAGATTATTTTCACTGGTTTAAATGGTAGTTACCTTTATTAAATTACTTTTATTAAATAATTAATTGTTTTTGTCTTTTATTTTTTTATTTTTTTTATCATCATACGTTTACTTCTCATTATTTACAGTTTAAGAAAAATTGTCAAATATTAATAATAATGAAAGTGTATAAAATCATTGAAAATTTCAACATGCAATAAAAATGGCTGAAAAGAAAATCTAAAAATGTAAATAAAATTTTAAAGTGAACCATAGATGCTGTTTATTTTATACATATAAGAGTTCCATTAAGCAAAGGCAATAGTACATAAAAATTTTTAGCATTTTGAATTGAAATTGTATAAGAATTATTAGGTTTTTATAAAATCACTAGACAGACTATCACTATAAACTTTAAAGAGACACAAAACTTTTTGATTGAAATAATAATGGGCCAAAATT